ACTGTTGGAGCCCCAGGGATGGTGCTTTCGAGGGAAGTCAGGGAAGGCATATTGGGGGTCTATCAGGCAAAGGCCTTGTTTCGTGGTCAAGAGGAACGAAGATCTTTAAGCACTGGTGACAGGGACAGATGTATTTTATTTAAGAAGGTAATTGTGGCAATAACATAGAGCAGTGGTTCCCAAACATTCCTGGACATTGGAACCTCCTGAGGACCTTTTTAGACTCCCAAGGCCCCGAGCATATTTCAGATTAATTCACAACCTTTGGGAATAGGACGCAGGCATAAGTGTCTCTTGACGCCTTCAGGTTATTCCAATGTGTAGACAAGTTTGGGAACCACTGAATACAGGTGGATCAGGTGTCAGAAGCAGCAGCTCAGCAGGCCAAGCCTAGTCCTGCCTGCTTTGGGTGAAGTTTCACGGGAGCTACACCTACTGTTTCTGTAGGGTCCGATCGCTTCCGTCCTACAGTGGCAGAGCGGAGTGGTTGCCATGGAGAAAATGTGGCCTTCAAGGATGAAAGTATTTACTAGCTGGCCCTTCACAAAAGAAATACTTGAATTCTTGGGAAGAAATTGTGTATCAGGCACCGAGCTGGGGAACAGGGTGCTGGAGGCAGTGGCAGTTTGGAGCTAGAGGTCAGAGTCCTGTTTAGGCTTCCGTCCTTGGAAGTAGGATGTCCAGCCATAATTTGGTGAAGGATCATTGTGGGGTGTAGCAGGGATCAAAGGTTTCAATGATGACCCATTTCTAAGTGAGAGGTGACAAGCACGTTGGCTCGCCAAGTACAAGTGTGGGTTTGTATGGATGGGTGGGTGGGCAAAGGGTAATGCAGAATTGCAAACCGTAGTGCCAGTCTAGTCAGGAGGAACATTTTCACATAAGAGAAAAAATTTGGAAGCAGTACAAGACAGTATAGAAAGATGTTATTCTCAGAAATAGATCAGTAAGCGTTGGAATAGTAAGAAACGAACAGTCACTGAGTATGTAGCGTACATTGGGCACTTTCCGTTCAGTACCTCGTTTAACCACAAAAGAACCCTGAGAGGTCGCTATACAATCTGGTTTTGTGGTGGTTCTGTTTGCTTGTTTGAGAATAAGGAAAGATTCTGAGGTTAAGTAACTGGTCTAAAGTCTCTAAGCTGCTGGATGGGCCACACTCCGACCTGTATCTTCCTGGGCTTCGAAGGTTGTGTCTGTGCACCATTTGCTTTTGCAAGAGTCCAGGTCGGGGCTCTGGATGGGCCCTGGGGGGTGGGCAGAATTCAGATGAGCAGTGGATGGGGATGAGCCATGCCATTCTCCTGGTAAGGATTGTTGGATGTGCATTTGCCTATTAAAGTTAAGTATCATACCTTGAAGTAAATTGTTTTGTTTTGTTTTCTCTCTTCTGCCCTTTCTCTAGAATAATGAAGAAGGTTGTAGGAAACCGATCTGGCTGCCCCACCGTAGGAGACAGAATCGTTGAGCTCATTTATATTGATATTGTGGGACTCGCTCAATTCAAGAAAACTCTCGGACCATCCTGGGTTCATTACCAGTAAGTGCCGCATGCTGTTCTTAGGTTTGCAGAGCTTTTTATTTATTTTTAAACAAGGGTTGAATGGTTGTAAGTAGAAAGAAGCGCATCAAATATCTTTTGAACCGTGTGGAGAATGTTTCCCTTTCCTAATTGAAATTCAGATTCTCCACAGTGACTTCTTACTTTCAAGGGCTATTCATTATTTTCATTGATTTATGTTAAGAATAGAAAACAAGTATCCAGCCTCCTTTTTACCATCCCTAATACTTAGCATTCCTCTCTCAGTATGCCCACAACAATCTCATCTGTTTAATCACATAGCAATTTCGATAAAATTAGGACAGAGTCATTACTTGTGTTTCTTAGGTTTGAGATAATGACTCATTCTCTCTGCTTTTCCCCCATCAGTATTCTTGTCATTCTTGGAAGAGAAAGCCTGGGAATACCTGAATGCCCGGGTCTTGCACTTTTTAAGATCTGCCTCGTGCTTGGGATGCCCCACGTGTGTGTGCTGCCCTGTGGCAGTCTTTATCATTTAATGCAGCAGTTGCCAACCTTGCGGACCTCACAGACCGCCAGTGATCCACGGACCACCGGTTGGCGACTGCTGCTCCAAAGGTTTTCTTAAACCAGCGGTCGCCAACCTTTCGGACCTCACGGACCACCAGTGGTCCACAGACCACCAGTTGGCGACCGCTGGTTTAGTGGATGAGCTCAGGGTTACCTGGTGTGGGGCTGGGGCCACGAGTTAGTATTTGAAACGCTTTTACATGATACACAGCATAACACTAGATGACATTGAAATAGATAATGAAGTTTATTAATTTTTCAGTTTTCTTTCAATCTCTCTGAAAAAAGGCTTAGTTTGGTGCTACTATTTCTCCAACACTACTTTTTTAAAAAAATATATGTTTTTATTGATTGTTAGTGAGGAAGGGAGAGGGGGAGGGAGAAAGAGATAGAAACATCAGTGAGAGAGAAACATCCATTGCCTGCCTCCTGCATGCCCCCTACTGGTTGCATGCCTGCAACCTTGGCATGTGCCCTGACCAGGAATTGAACTGGTGACCTTATGGAGCATGGTGACTACGCTCAACCACTGAGCCACACCGGCAGGGCTCCAACACTACTCTTAACACTTGCATGCATTTTTAACAAAGTGTGAGAACCTGTGCCCTTGCCAGTGTGACTCAGTTGGTTGGAGCATTGTCCTGTACACCGAAAGGTTGCGGGTTCGATTTCTGGTCAGGGCACATCCCCAGGTTGTGTGTTTGATCTCTGGTTGGGGTGCCTGCATGAGGCCACTGATCGATGTTTCTTTCTTGCATCAGTGTTTCTCTCTTTCACTTTGAGTTTAATACTTATTAAAGAACAATAACATGCTTTTTTGTTGTCTTCCATTTATTGCAGTTGATACTGGCTTTTACTTAAGGTCTCTAAAAGTTTCCAATAAATTTTAAAAGGTGAATACATTTAAATAAGCATTATATCCATTCTCTAATGTCCGTGTTTCGTCAATTTGGGTAAAAATCATGAAGTTAGCACAAACTTTATCAGTGATAGTAAATGTTGACTTGTTTAAACCAGCTTCCTAAGAGAACACTCTGAGAGTCTTTCAGTTAGAACGACTTGGAACCGCTGCCCCCCACCATGTGTTCCTTTTCTGTTGATATTCGGTAAAGAGATGTTTTCATGTGTTCTTTTAACTTAACCAATACATCAATCACTTCTTTAATTCCGGTTAGTTTATAGTTTAATATCATTAGCTTTCATCTCCAAGGTTATGTCAGACTGGAAGTCCTTTAGAATTGAAAGAAATGAAAATTTAAAATATTAAGATTCTTCTCAGGAACACAGAGGGGAAGAAGGCACTGTTGCTGTGAAATTTCCTCGTGGTAGCAATGATTTTCTCACTGGGCAGAGACATGTTCATGGGCAGAGGAGAGGGACTGATTGAGAAAGACCCTGTGCTCTCATTGCCTTTGAATGTAGACTCATAAAATAGCAAAATAAAAATTTGGTTTGGGCCTGGGTCGCTCTCTACCTTTGTATCAGGTTTTTCCTGGTTTGGGGTTTGCGTTTTGTTGAAATCTTCATGAATCCCAGGCCATCACATTTGTTCTCTGTTACATGGAAATAACCATCTCTTTTCTTGGTTAATGAGCCATGTAAGTAAACACACTTTTTTTTTTTCTTTTTAGTTACCACATTAAAAATAAAAGAAAGAAGGCAGTGCTGTTGTGCCCTGGCATTTTGCAAATGACAGGCACCTGATAAATGTGCAACTGGAGTGGGCATCACGGGGATCCCTGGCCTCACATATCCTCACCATTAAGGAGGGCTGTTTGGATGGGAATAATACCATTCTCAGTGGTAGTATTCAGTTCAATTAAAAAGGATGATTCCATTATTAAAAAGGCCACCGCTGATTGGTATTTGGTTCTTGTTGGATGACAGGACGCATGGCAGGGGGTTTATGGCAGAGGGTAATGTCTGTCCATCCTTTAGTAAATCACATGTTAGTGCTGTTGGCAGGATGTCACTTAGTCACCAGCCCTGCTGTCTGTGGTGTGATGGCGCTCAGGTTTCACCAGAAGGCCGAGCAGGTCCTCTAAAGAGTTTCCCGCCCATTCCTTCCCCTTTTGAAGATCAAACTTGTCAGAGCCATCTGTATTCATCTTGGTCGATGGCAGATGATATGACTTCTATTCAGTGTACAGTTATCTTCTGATTTTTCATTTAGGGGCAAACCCTTGATTTGTATTGATCTTGGGAAATACTGATCTTTGAAAATTCTGTCAAATTTATGTAAGGACCCAGGAAACTCAGTTAAATATTTCCTATATGCAACTAGTACACTGCTGGGTACCGCAAAACTCATGCAAATCAAATCTAAAACCAGAACAGTCTTCCTTCACAGCCCTGAGAACACACCCGACAGCGAGATGCACATAGTCTAATTTATAGCATGTTTTGCATCGAGCTCCACATTAGAAAGTAGGTCCCTGCATGAAGGTTATGAGCATCCATCCCATAATAGCGTGGCTTAGAGCAGAGAGAGTATCCAGGAGCATTTGGCATGGCTGCAGGGAACCCTGCTCGAGGAGGCCAGCTGCTCGGCAGCGAGGCTAATATCTTTTGAAGCCATTAGTCTGTTTCTGGTGCTACATACACACAAAAGGCATTAGAGGAAGGGTGTCAATATTAACTCACACAATTCCAACACAGATGCAGAACGTGATTGACCAGGAAAGCTATAATGTTAGCCTCCTCAGTCACAGACAGAGATCAGTCTCCGGCCTCTGGTTATAAAACAAACCCAGATAAGCTAAAAACAATAGGCATTTCCTAAATCAAAGCTTCAAGTATGAGGATGTAGAATCACAAGTACCTGTGACACGGTACCATCCATCCTATAGCCTTCCATGGGGAAGAAGCCCAGTATCAGAAGCGAACATCTAGGCACTTCTTTTTCTTTTTTAATATGGAATGCCTCATGAATTTGCGTGTTGTCCTTGTGCAGGGGCTATGCTAATCTTCTCTGTATTGCTCCAATTTCAGGATATGTGCTGCTGAAGCGAGCACTAGGCACTTTCTGACCTCCAGGCTTCCAGGAATCAGGCGACTGCCAGGCATCTCTACTCATTAGAGTTTATTTTAATTATCCAAATGAAAATAACACCAGTAAAACTCCAAGTTAAAAATAGAATGACAAGCCAGAGCCAGAGAGGAATGTAGACCATTTGAGTCAATTGCAAATAAGCGGAAGCAGCCAAAGCTTCAAGGCAAAGGACCCTTCGGACAGAGTGCCTGTTTGTCCCTGGGGTCAGGCACAGAGCGCTGTGGTCCCTGCATCCCAGCTCTGTGCCTGGGCAGCCAACCTTCCACCGCCCCGCCTAGTGGTGTGTGTCCCTCCCTCTCTCGCAGCAACCTCCCCAGAGCTGCCACATCATCCCTCTGTCCCAGCACTGCCCTCTTCCTCAGAAGAAAACATACTGGCTCCAATAAGTGCCTTTTGCATCTTTATTTTAAAAGGAAGAGTGTAAGTTAAGACTTGGGAATGTTTTATAAATAAGAGAGCTGCTCAAAGAGCAGGAAAAACAGGCGTGGATCAGTTCCTTGCATCCCTACCTTTTTCCTGGAGTGTGGACATCCATTTCTGTCTGCCTCTTGTCTGCCAGGCTGGTAACACGTTCTTGTGCCTGTTGTGGCAGTGGTCACTGTGATGATGGCCTGTTCCTTGAGTCACACAGGAATCCAGGCAAGGAGGTGCTTTCTGTGGTCAGCTTGTATTTCCCACCTGGTCACGGCCCGCCCTCCTCTACCTGCCTATTCTTTTCCTTCTCTTTTCTTCCTTGTCTAGACTGGTGATGCTGATCTCTGATGAGAACATCATCTCACCAAAATGGCAATTTACTTTGCTCTTCCTGGAACAACCAATCTGATAGTTGCACTTTTTTTCCTGAATCATACATTGATGTAAAAATGAAAAGTTGGGCTTTGGTTGGGTGGCTGTTTGTTGAAGTGTCATCTCATGCACCAAAAGGTCACAGGTTCAATTCCCCGTCAGGGTACATACCTAGGGTGCGGGATGAATCCCTGGTCGGGGCACATACAAGAGGCAACCAATCGATACTACTCTCACACATGGATGTTTCTCTCCCTCTCCCACTCCCTCTCCCTCCCCCTCTCCCTGTCCCTCTCCCTCTCCCTTGCCCTCTCCCTCCCTTCCTCTCTCTAAAATCAATAAACATATCCTCAGGTGAGGATTTTTTTTAAAAAACTTGGAAGAATGAACTTCTTGAAAATGGAAAAGAGAAGAAAGAAACTGAATCAAATACTTAAAAATCATTGCCATCCTCTGATTCTAAAATATGAGCTTTAATCTTTATTTACTTTCACGCTTGTTGGTCCAGTAAGATCTATTCAGAAGCAGTATTGATACATAACAACAGAAAATACTGCTATTTTTATAGGTCATTTATGAGCTAAATTTACATCTATGTTTTGAGAATTAGTAATGAAATAAATGTAACCAAAATCAATACATTCTGCTTCAGTATTGATTCTTTTCTTCTGATTGGTCATTCCATGTGCACCCTAAAGCAGAGGTCAGCAGGCTTTTCTTGTAAGGGGCCAGAGAGTAAATATTTTAGGCTTTTCTGGACGGATGGTCTCTATCTCTCCTCACTCCACTATTATTGTGTGAAAGCAGCCACAAATAATGTACAAACAACTGGGTGTAGCTATATTAAAATAAAACTTTATTTTTGAATGCTAAAAATGGAATTTTATAAAATTTTCACATGTCACAAACTATTCTGTTTATTGTTCAACTAAAGATGTGAAGATCATTCATAGCTTGAAGGCTTGCTGAAATAGGCTGTAGATGGGATTCAGCCAGCCCTGTTGGAAGGCTTTGGTGGAACAGCCAAATGAAGCATCTTCAGTTTCACTTCAGGCCCTGGGAGGAAGCAGTCGTATTCTCTTACTATCAGACACATGAAAATCACCATTGCCTTTTGAGCAAGATTCTAAGCTTTACCTAAAATCACATACTCTAATTAATTGGTGAAAATGTTGAAACAGATAAGGCATGCCATGTGCTTTGAGCAGAATAAGACCTCCATCTTCATCTGTTGCAGCTGCTGTAAGATAATAGCACAGGCTGGGGGCTTGTGCACAGCAAGCATTCTTCACTGCTCACATTCAGGAACCTGGGAGCCCAAGACAGGGTGCGAGCATGGCCAAATGAGGGCTGTCTTCCAGGTCTCAGACTTCTTGAATTCTCACAGGATGGAAGGGGCTAGGGAGCAATGCAGAGTTTCCTTTATAAGGCCACTAATCCTATTCACGAGGGCTCCACCCTCATGACCTAACCATCTCCCAACAGCCCCATCTGCTAATACCATCACCTTTGCGGGTTAGGATTTCAACACATAAATTTTGGGGGACACAAAGTATACATAGTGGCCTCTAAAAATGGCAATTCTTTATTTCTTCAACAAGTGTCCTTAGGCACCACTGGCTGCTCAGCCTGCTGGGACACAGCAGTGAGCATGCACTCTGCAGTTCAGCTTTGGGGAACATTTACGCATCTCTCTCTTTTTTTACCCTCACCTGAGGAGGATATGTGTATTAATTTGAGAGAGAGAGAGGAAAAAAAACCAAAACATCAATGTGAGAGAGAAACATGAACCAGTTGCCTCCTGTATGCACCCCGACCAGGGATGGAACCCACACTGTTTTGGTGTATGGGATGATGCTTCCACCAACTGAGCGACCAGCCAGGGTGCGTCGGAGAACTTTATTTCATGGGTGTTTGAGTCATTCTCTGAAGTACATTGTGTCTGCTGCATGATGGTCCAAGTCACATATGGAGATGCTTGGTTACACGGCTATTCTAAAAACTGATTTGTCTCAGTGGATAGAGCGTCGGCCTGTGGACTGAAGGGTCCCGGGTTTGATTCCGATCAAGGGCACATACCCGGGTTATGGGCTCGATCCCCAATGGGGGCATGTAGGAGGCAGCCGATCAATGATTCTCTCTCATCGTTGATGTTTGTATCTCTCTCTCTCCCTCTCCCTTCCTCTCTGAAACATATATATATATATTAAAGTATCTGTCCCTTTCTGGCAGTGCCTGAAAAGAGGGGTTGGAGCTTTTACTTCCGGAACTTTGGGTCAAGGTTGCAGTTTTACCCACAGCACTTTTTCTTGCAGGTGCATGCTGCGCGTCCTGGACTCTTTCGGCACCGAGCCGGAGTTTAACCATGCCAGCTACGCCCAGTCCAAAGGCCACAAGACCCCCTGGGGAAAGTGGAATCTGAACCCGCAGCAGTTTTACACCATGTTCCGTGAGTATTCCTGTCTCGCACCTGCCTTTTAGAATGCTGCCATAGACAAATGGGGAAAGAGAGTAGATGGCATGTATTTGAGCTTATGATCCCAAGGGCCCTGAGTTGTAGAAATATGTGCCTTGGGAATAATGGAATTTTTTCTTAATTATTATCAAAGGCCAGGTGAGCACTTAGAAGTGTTCTGGAGAAAAATGTTTCCACAGGACGTATCATGAGAAACCGTAGGGAAAGGGCTTTGGGTCCACTTTGGGTTGGCAGACACTACACCTGTTGCCTGCCCCACAGGTGCTGTGTAGGGTCCACTTGATTAGAGACAAGGAATGGGGTCTTCTGTGGCCACACATTTTCCAAATAAGCAAACCTTAATTACTTACGCATCAAATTTTGCAAAGAAAACTGTTAGCCTTTTTAAAGTGGAACTGTTATTTTATTTTATTTTTGACTGTTGAGTGACAGACAGAGGAAGGGAGAGAGAGAAACATTGGTTGTTGTTCACTTATTGATGCATTCAGTGGTTGATTTTTGTATGTGCTCCTACCAGGGATCATACCTGAAGCCTTGGTATATTTGGATCACCCTCTAACCAACTAAGCCACCCGGTCAGGACCTAAATGGAACTTTTTAAAACTGTTTCATACTTTATCAACTTCTTAAACACAGACTCAAAAGGAAATCTCACTTCTTTTGTTCACGTGGTGTTATTGTCGCCAAGAGCAGTGGTTATTTTAGGAGATGTACTGGACACACTGAGAGATGATGCACCAACCGGCCCTCGCTGTGGGTCAGGTTTTTCTCCCACTTCCTTACTACTATCAGTTTACCTCATTTCATTTAAAATTAGCAGAATACTGTGAAGCCAGATTTGATAGTGTTCATGCAAAGAGCAGGTTTGTTGTCTGAGTCAGTAGATCCCGGTGATGACATTCAGGTGATGACATTCAGTTCCGTAAACAAAAGGTCACCTGAGTAAGATAGTTCATTTGCACGCTCAGAGTGGAAAATTCCCATTTTCCAATACGATCAGAACATTTTAATCCAGAGGTTTCTACCTAGAATGTGTATCTGAGATGTGAATCTGTTGCCCCTGCCCTGCCTCTTCCTGCATGGTTGCCTCACCCCCTCTTCTGCAGCCAGCTGAAGATGACTCTTTTCTCAGGTCGTCTACATGTAGCAGCAGACACATGGGACTAGTCCCTGGGTATAAGGTATGAGAAGAGAGAATTGAGACGAGTTCCTTTTAAAATCAGCTCAGAGAGATCTGTGAGAGCGTGTTCTGTGCATGGTAAACGTGACTGTTCCTGGAGCACAGTTTAGGGGACAAAAAAATATAGGGCTTGTTGGGTGACAGATGGCCGGTCAGTATGGTATAAAGCATGTGTAACTTTGAGGGGCTGGGATGAGGTCATACAAAATAGCCTAAGAAGTAACCTGTGTTAATGCCAAATGGAAAAATGTTACCTATGTCTAAAGTGGCTGGAATTGATATGTATGCCCTCCACCGGATGGAGTTTTTCTAATCCCAGGGGGTGTGAATAAGCTTTTCCAGAAAGTATTATAAAGTTCTCTTTTAGAATGTTGGAATTCAGAGTCCTGAAAAACACATTTTGTTGTACATAAATGGAGGATTTCCACAGTGCAGGTTGAAATGAAAGAAATTCACTGCTTACAGTGTAACTAGAAATGAAGACAGATTAATTCCTGTTCCCTGGGAAGTATGTGTGTCCT